CAGATTCACCCTGTATAGTAACCATATAACACAAGCATAGCAGATGAGTTTGTATATCTTCAAATTCAAGAGTCATTTTTTTTTTCTCTTGTAAGGAAATAAAATGGGGCTGCAGAGTTTGTCAGCTGATGAGAAAGAAACCATTGCATTTCTTCAGAAATATGGCATATTGCCCAACAGTAAAAAATTCACATTTCATGAAGTTTTACTTCTTAAACAAGTGAATTTTATGGATCAAAATTCGTGCAATTCTCTGATATTTTTTTAAGCAAAAACTGATCTCTGTGTACAAGAGGGGCATAATGGGGGGGGGGGAATACAGAAAGTTTTCCTGAAAAAGATAAGTGTTTTCTAACAGATGTTTCAAGCTTTTTACATTTTATTGATTCATTGTTGTTTCATGGAAATTTTAGAGCATGGTCATTTTCAAAATGGCTGTTTCTTTCATATATTAGCATGGTGAAAAAATTCGGTGTCAACTCACTGCCAATATTTGAGGAAAGGGTGCAGATAATCCATCATACCATTCATTTTCGTACCGCTTAGTGCTGCATTTATATTTTTCTGTTTTGTTTGTTGTTTTCATAATTTACTGTCTGAGAAACTTATAATAATTACTGAAGTTAATTTTTAAAAGCGTATATATATATATATATATGTATGTGATAAAAAATTTTTGACTAAGTTGCAATGGATTGATGATGGTTTTCTGCATTATAACTTGGAGAGACTTTACTACATTATTAGAAAGATGACACTCGAGAGACCTGTAGACAGATGTAGCCAAACTGAACATAATCTTTATTGCTGGACATTAACTAATTATCGAAAATATATATTTTATTATATATGATCATGAGTGCAATATGCACACAACTTTACAAGTATATACAGTATCACATTTTTAATAATGATATAGTTAGTAGTACGACAATTCACAGCAAAATGAAACAGCTTCCAACCAACTACAGGATCTGCAAGCTAACGGTGCATTTATCCAATATGGCAGTCTGTTAAGAGACAGGTTTCAGTTCTCAGAGTTTAGGTTCCGACAAATAACTACATCATCAGCATTATGAAACCTTTGTGGCATAGATTAATCTAGAAAAGACACTGTCCAGAGGAGTTATTACGATTTTTAGAATAGAGAGGGAGAATTAGGGGGTTGCCACTAATTTAAATTACAATTTTGATCTATATATTTTTTATCTTACACACACACACGTTTATATATATTGTTGCGTTTTTCTTTTCTGACACCAGTTGTTACGTTATTTTCCTCCATCACGTTCGTACGGTTCTACGTGGATTTGGAGTAAATAACGACGACACTTGATGAAGTATCGAAACACACTTTATTGACCGGTATTAATTAGGACAGCTCCAAAATCTCATTTACAGTCGTTGAACTGTTATGATCAGTGACACAGCTTTCAGGTTATCAAACTATCATGGTGGAGACAGCTTCACTGCAAAGCATCAGAGTACATCTACAGACTCTGCTTGGTCGTTCTGGGAACTCCACGTACTCTCAAGACTCTCCAAGCTACAACTCGCGATGCACTCAACGACACACAGAGCACAGCTCCCGACTCTTCGGTTCAGTCATTCCCAGAGTTTAACACACTCTCTCGACGATGCACTAACCGCGATACACTAAGAGACTCTTCGATGCACTCGACAACCCACTCAGCACTCATGGGCCGGCTGTCAACTCGATCGTCTCAGCACGAACTATCTAAATGAAACACACTAACTCGCACTCTAGACGAGGCACACTCTGATTGCGGACCAGCAGGGTTTATATAGCTTTCGGCTTGTGTTCGAGAACATTCTGGGCTAAACCGGTAAGAATTCGTTCCAGAAGGTTCTCCATCCATCCATGGTATATTGCCAATTTTGTCACCAAATGGGCAATTTCTCACCAAATGTGGCAGCCCTGCCTTCCCTTGCTATTTTATGGCAACCTAAACCTGCTTTGCGAGAAAACTATCTTACCGTGCCTGTACATTTCGTAAAAATATAATGTGCATGTGTGAGATGATAAAAGAGTTTGTTGCAGATAATTTTATATTAAATGACAGTTTCATTAAGAAATGCACCAAATTACTTTTTAGTCATGGCCAAGAAAATTGTTGCATAATTGGCTGTAATTTGTAGCGTAGTGAATGACCTGATGGAATTCTGGAAGAAGCACAACCAGCTTGGAATTAAACATCATGTATTTTTGGATGACAAATTTCTTAGCACATACTTTTGTAATTTGCAGAACAATAGGGTAATGCATGCGCCAGAATTTTAGATATGCAATTATGGGCAGTCTATATTTTAGGGTACCACTTGGATTATCGCCAAGTTGTTGTTTCATTTACGGTAACCTGAGTCGTTTAAGTTGAATATTATGGAAACCCTATTATGACAGGATTGGTAGTAATGCGTGGTTGCGGTAATTTTGACTGTTGGGAAAATATTTGTCAGGACTTATTCATGCATTGGATACTGGTTATGAAGAACATTGCTTATTTTATACTTTACATACTGTAAACTGCCTGCTGGTGGTACGATTAACCTGAAATTTCCGTAAGCTTTGGAACAAATGGAAAAGAAAACACTGATTAACTGTGTGTAAATAAAGATTTAAATGGCCTCAATCCCCTCTCAGTAAGTTACGCAATGAGATTTAAAGGTTTGGAAACTGGAGCTAATGTCAATACTATGGAAGGTATGTGGGATGTAATAAAAAGGGATTTTCGAAAGAAATGCTACAGGCAGTCTCGCAGTATGGAGGATATTTTTGATTTTTACTTTTGTGAATTTATGTGGCGACAGCAGTATACAGATTCTATTTCAGATAATATTAAACGGATTTGGATGCTGTTAAGGAATTCTGTTTGTCACACACCGAAGACACAGAAATTTCTAAATACGATAAGTTGATATTTCCTTTTTGTACTGTGCAGATTAGATAGCATGTATTTCTATCTTTATGTTATTTCCCTGTTTTATTTTGGTTTAAAATGCAGTTTATTGGGATTATGTTTTTTTTTAATGTTTTTATTATGTTTTGGACGCTGCTATTTTACTTGGGAGGGGGTTGCACGTAAAAAAGAATGGCACCAAAAAATTGCGATCATCGCCAAGGGTTACCCTGAAATATATTTTTCTCAAATAACAGATAACAGATAGCAGAGGCTAATCGATACGTTGCTAGTAGGAAGGTAAAGTGATGAAAGAGAATGCATAGTTGATAGGAGTACTTTTATAAGTGTTGTGAAATGAACTCAAGTAATAACTGGCACGAGGCGCTGCTGTTCATGACGTCAGCCTGCGTGCTGAGTGTTTTGAATGTTTTGCTTGTAGACAGAACGAAAGCTGATCTCGGAAGCATAAGACTGTAATGATTAAAATAAAGAAGTGTTGGCTTATTAAGTTTTTTTGTCTTTATTCATAACGCACCCAGCCTCGGGTAGGGGCAACCCGTAATTGAATGAACTGTTTTGAATATATTTTAATTATATATTTTCTGTGTTCTCCGTAACAATAAGCTTGCAGAGTCTTTGTTTTAGTTCTGAATAGTGACTAGGTAAAAGTTTACACCAATGCAGATACTGCATAGAAAATGCAGATGCCTTGAACGGGTTGTACTTTAATTAAAAATTAGCGACTTAAAGATCTATTGTCGATTTGTTCCAATTAAGTTATTTAGCCCCTTAAGTCCTCGTTTTTAATTTAGGTATTTCTCCTCTCTATTCTAAAAATAGTAACTTATTTCTGAACTGCATCATTTCTGGATCAATCCAATGCATGCTGCTGGTGGCATAACTAACTTGGAATCTGAACTCAAAATTTCGAGAACTGAAAGCTTTCTCTTCGTGAGCTTCTGTATTGGATAACTGCACACTTTTGCTTCCATCTCTGTTCTCGCAAAGACATTGCCTTACTCCTCTCTTCCTATTGCAACAGTATCAAAAATGTAAATATTCTGGAATAGGCACGATTAAAGTGCCAAATGAACTCTGGCCACAAATGTCAACTGAAATAAAGATGAATATTTAGTCTGTCTCAGCTGCCCAGTTTGCTTTGTGATGCTATGCCATTACTGCTTCTTATTTTATTTTATATACAGTCAAAAGTCGTTAATTCGGACTCCCATAATCCGGAATGATCTATAATCCGGACCTCAAAGCTACAAACTTTCTGCGCATGCGTTGCTTTGACGCACGCGCATAGGCATTTACGCGGGCGCGTAAGACCTTTACGGCTGCAAATATGTGTGTGCACACGTGCGTTTAATATATAACGGATGGTATAAGCTAAGCTAAAATTATCTAATTCAGTTAATGTTGCAGATTCCGTTGTTCCTTAATCTTCGAATTGGATCCGGCTTATTATTTTTTGCAGACTGTTGGAGCAACTTTATAAAAGTAAGCTTGAACTTTCGATTATGTCAAATAGAATTTCCGATATATATTTACTAATATGTATAGGATTTACAAAGCGAAAGTATGTTTCGAAATCCGAAATCTGTTTATCAATTTCATGCTGCTCTGCGGCGGGAGGGAAACGCCGTGGCGCGTAATGAATTGGAAGTTGATCTGTCAGCACTATCCTTATCTTCACTGCAGATGTTTTTATTTTATTTGGCTTATAATTCCTTACTAAATGTAGTATTTCATATCGTACTCCGTCTTTGATATGATTTAAAGCAATTATAGGACTTGAATAGCGGAACTTTGTAACTAAACAAGAAATTATGTCTGTTTAATAGAATTAAAGGGAAAGTATTATCACATGAAACGAAGCAACTTAAACAACTTACATTGAAAGAAATGTTTAATAAAGTAAACAAATAAATATTAAGCTTTTTTTTGTAAATTTTGATACCCTTTAGATCATAATTGTTCTTTATTTCATAAATTACAGTTTCATATTTTTAATTTTGTAATTTCTGCATGTCATCTTACAAGATTTAAACTGATGATCTATAATCCGGAAAAATCGATAATCCAGAATCGCCGAAGTCCCGACGAGTCCGAATTAACAACTTTTGACTGTATATATGTGTGTGTGTATGTGTGCATAATAAATATGTGTCATCATATATTTAAAATTAATTGACACTCTTTCTTATTCGCTCCACGACAGAAATGCTTTCGTTCTGTGATTTTTATTTCAAGAAAAATTTTTCATCCATGCTTCATTTTCATCAGAATTAAATTCAAGTTACTCTCTAAGAGAAAGGTTCCAATGTGGCATTTCACCCTTTACTAGATCTAAAATAGCTCTTGTCTTAAATCCAAGACATGACACTGCTCTTAAAGTGGCTTTTGTTAGATTTTTTTCGAAGTCTTCCAGGACACTCGGAGGAAAACCTGACTATTTCTCAAAATTTGCATAGCAGGATTAGTAAGAGAGAATCTTTTGAATCATCAAAACTTACACACATCTTTCAGAAAAAGTTAACATTTTTATAGTTTAACATTGCATAGAAACTTTGAGAAAAATATTTGTGGCAAATAAATGAGATAAATATTTTTATATGTTCACTGCATATCATTTTTTTAACTCAAAAGAAAATAATTCTATGCAAGATTTTGAAATTCACAAAAATATAGAATTTTTACACTATTTTCATTTCATATTTTTCTGACTTTGCATAGCATTTCCATACTACTCACCTCATTTATTTTAAATAAGACTTCATAATGAAGATGAAGATAACACAAGAAGGAAAAAGATTTCAATATATCACAAGAGAACAATACAAAAGTTATATATATTGAAAAAGGTGTTGGTAGTTTTTAACACATGGAGTGATCCTCAGATTTGATAAATAAAATGGCAACAATTTTTTTTTTAAATTAAATATAATCCAGTTTTTCATAAATTTCAGTCTAAATTAAACAAAATAAATAAATAAATAAAATTCATAACAAATAATTCTTCACTATATTTCTGAAACGTCATCCATGAGCTGGCTATACCTGTCAAATCAAGAAGTTTTTACATATTAGCAGTTTAAAATGCTTAAGTACCACACTTAAAAGTTGATTTTATGAGAGGAAGTTTTGAAACCAATTTTATATGGGATAAAGAAACTACAGGTATTCCTACCTGCAAACTACTGTCATTTCCACAACTCTTTTCATCAAACACTGGAATAATTCCTACAACACCATTCATATCAGATTTCATAAGTTTTTTTACATCAACCAAAGGTAAACAGAAGCCATCTGATAATCCTTTTATATTATCTGCAGAGTTGACACAATTTTGTTGATGATAATCCCGTAATTTCCTGTAGTTAAATGAACGGAAACATTTGCAACAAATAAACTTTTTCAGATGATTGGATCGTGTGTGTGCAAGTAAACTCAGCTTACTAGAACAGCTCTTCCTGCAGCATTCACATCTAAAACCTCTAGCATTTAAATGCATTTGTCTGTGATATTCGAGTGCAAGTTTTTTCCTAAATATTTTGTTGCAAAGTTTACACACAAGTAATTTTTTATGAACACTAGATGATGAAATCCCTTTATACCTTACAATGAGTTTTGTACTATTAAGATTTTTATGCAAAACATTCTGAGTCTCTTTTACAGCACAAGATGCTGCATAATACTTATTCCTAGATGCTGGAAATTTTCTCATTATAGAAGCAGAATCTGCAGCATTTACTTTTTTATCACAGCTCGTTACAGCATTTAAATTTGTTTTCTCTTTACTGCTGTTTTTAATTAGAAATTTATTAATTACCTCTTTACCAACAGGAGAAATTTCTCTGCAGATTTTAGATTTTATTTCCTTGTGTGTTCCATGCATTCTTGCATGCACTAATAAAATATTTTCATCTTTACAAACATCTCCACAAAAAGGACAGAGTAATTTAAAATTTGAATTTGAAGCCTCTGTGCTGATAACAGAGGCTGAAGATGAGCATAAATCTGGTCTGTCACTAACCGAAGACTTCTGTTCACCATTTACATCACTTAACTCGGATATGTGCGAATTATCAGAATTTAAATCTGGCAACATATTAGATGTCTTTTCTGTAGCAGATTTAGCATATGAACAATTGTTAGATTTTGTAAAATCCTGATGCAAGTCACTCTGCACAGAAATTTGTAGATTTTTATTTGCGAGTGCAGAGCATGTACGATTAAAATTCAAGTTACATGTATTAGATTCATCCAAATCTGAATTCCTATCACCAAGCAGAACACTCTGTACATGTGTTCTGACATGACATTCAAATTCTTCTTCATTTGAGAAACTTTGCTGGCATGGTATGCAGAGGTTTACATTTTCTTTGGCATTCATATCATCTGTGCTTGATACTTTAGTAGGACTTGTGCAAGATGCAGAATTTTCTAAACATTCAGTAGCTAAAGCACCTGAAGTAGATTCTTTTGAAGCATGAAAATTATTTGTGGAAGAAGCACTACTTTCTGCATCATTTACAGATGAATAAATAGTAGGCTTCCTGTCTATAAGCATATCAATATTATAATGTTCCTCTTCAATATGATGATTATATTTCGTATAATCTGAAAAAACATTTAAGCACAATCCACACTCATACCTAAATGCTGGAATTGCATTTTTTTTGACACTGAAATTAGCATTATCTTTAACACCTGAAGGTAAACAAGTACTCTTTACAATATCAGAAGAATCTGCAGCCACTGAATTACAGTGAGAATCTTTCTGTGTGTAGTCTACAGAATCTTGTGACACACAACTTATTGTTTTAAAAGAAGAATCATACATAGGATTATTAAATGATTCAAAAAGCATAGCATCTAAATGTTTCTCCGAAGATGCAATTGCAGTTGAATCTGCAAATACAAAAGAAGGTAAAGTGTCCATAATACTTTGATAATCGTTTAATTCAAAGCGATACTTTCTGCGATCCAAAGTTTCAGTGGAAACATTATGCCGATGCCTCAAATGATGAAGAAAGACGTTTTTCTGTCGGAAACCACGATTGCATAGACTGCAGTGGAAAAGATTACTAGCACTGTGCAGAGCCTAAAAGAAAAGATGCAAATAAACAAGAATACAGCACACACAGAAAACAAATTTTATTTAGATAGTAATAAAAAAAAGAACATGGCACTTCATCGCTTTAAGTCTTTTAATAAATTATTATGTAATCAATTATATTAGATCCCATTATCTGATGAAATATAATATCCATTCCGAAAGAACTTAAAATTAATTTAAAGAAAGCTGATAGAATCAAGCATCTGAAATTTTCTCACACTATGAATAGAATCACAATTAAAGCTTGTTTGACATAGTCCCTTTCTCATTTTTTAAAAAGCTCCTTTTCATTAAATATTGCTTTTCTCCCTCTCTTTTTTTAAAACATAGAATAGTTTGCTCTATAAGTGGAATTTACTAAATCTAAAATGTGCTAATGGTATAAAGTTTATTGAAAGGAAATATTATTTGGATAAGCCTGGCTAGCTTAACTGTATACATAATTCAAAGGTTTATTTTGTTCAGAAAAATGTAAGAATGAAATAAACATGGTTTAATGCATGGAATTTGTTAATGTGTTTACAGCTTGTCAAATTTCTACTTCAGGCAGGAGATACATATTGTTACGAAATGTACAGGTGTGGTAAGATGGCTTCCCCGCAAAGCAGTTTTAGAGTTGCCATAAAATGGCAAAGGAAGGCAGGGTTGCCACATTTGGTGAGAAATCGCCCATTTGGCGACAAAATTGGCACTAGAGCATGGACGGTTGGAGAACCTTCTGGAACGAGTTCTTACCGGTTTAGCCCAGAATGATTCCGAACACAAGCAGAAAGCTATATAAATCCTGCTGGTTTCCAGTCAGTTAGTGTGTGTGTCTCTCATCGGGTGAGTGTGCCTCGTCGAGAGGGCGAGTCGAGAGAGCCTCGTCTAGAGTGCGAGATAGTGTGTCTCTCATCGAGAGTGAGTGTGTCTCATCTAGCAAGTCAATCCCTGCAGAGTCGATCGAGTTGACAGCCAGGCAGCGAGTGCCCCAAAGGAGTCAGTTAGTGCATCGTCGAGAGAGCATATTGAGCTCCGGGAACAACTGAACTGAAGAGTCGGGAGCCGTGCTCTGTGTGTCGTCGAGTGCATTGCGAGTCGTAGCGTGGACTCCAAATCCACACGAACCCCATATGAACTGATGTCAGAAGAAATAACACAACAATTGGCGTCAGAAAAGAAAGAAAAAAAAACGTAACAACTGGTGTCAGAAGTGGGATTTGCGAGTGAATGCCAGTGACCCGTCTGCAGAGGAAAGCCATGATTAAAGAAAAGAAAACTTTGATGGACTTCTTAGCCGAGATCATAGCCGGACAGAAGGAGTTGAATGCCGGATATGCTGAGATAATGGCCGGATATGCTGAGTTAAAAGCTGGATGTGCTGAGATAAAAACCGGATATGATGAGATGAAAGCTGGATATGAAGAAATGACAGCTGATATGAAAGCTGGATGAGAAGAGATAAAAGCCGGCCGAGAACAGGTGCGAAAGCAACTCCCACAGATGAAAGTGGAGCTTGCGGAAGAAACTGGAGCCATAAAAGAAAATGCGGAAATGACAGAAGTGGTGTCTGAAGAATCAAAGGATGAAGAAATGAAAGAAGTAGCTAATGAATTGCCTGAGAAAGATCCAGAAATGATGGAGGAAATATTTAACAGGATTAAAGGAAAAGAACGAAAACATGAAAAAATAAAAAACGGGAAAGAGGATATTGAATCTCATGTGACTGAAGTAGAGATAGAACAAAGTGAAAACGCGACTGTCAAGATCGTCGAAAGTGATAGTAAAATGATGAAGTTGCAAGCAGCAAGTGTTGAATCATCTGAAAGTGCATGTGATGCAGAGATGGGAGAAGCTGACAGCTTAAGCAGTGCGCTCCAGTATGGCAAGAAGATTCACCCACTTTGCAAACTATGTGTGTGCCTCATAGTGCAGATTTTGCAGACAAAAGCTTGATTCCAAACCCAGATACTTCTGCTTGTAAAGGATCGAATTCTATTCATGACCCTGGTGCAAACATCAGAACTGGTTTTCAGGAAATAGAGGTAAATAAACATGTACCATCTGCTAATGATACCGAGATGAATTATACGCATGCTGCGAATGATCTACAGAGTGGTGTACATATTGTTTTAGATTTTCCTGTGGATGAAAAGCCTGAAGGAACTGAATCTCCACACTGTGATATGCAAAACAGAAATGCATCTGAGAACTGCAGTGGAAAAGTATTTGACCCGGGTATATTTTAATGAAAAGACAGAGACTGAAATTCATTCAGAACTTTAATTTTTATTATTTGAAATTGTGCCATGTGTTTAATTTGTGTATATAATTTGTCCATAGTGTAACTGTTTGTTTCTTTAGTTATGTTATTTGTTTGTTTTATTACATTTTGTTTCTACCGAATTAGGCTTCTGACAAAGGGTTGTACTGCTTGGGACATGCAGTCCTTGGGAGGGGGCAGTGTTACGAAATGTACAGGTGCGGTAAGATGGCTTCCCTGCAAAGCAGTTTTAGGGTTGCCATAAAATGGCAAAGGAGGGCAGGGTTGCCACATTTGGCGAGAAATTGCCCATTTGGTGACAAAATTGACGATATACCATGGACGGTTGAAGAACCTTCTGGAACGAATTCTTACCGGTTTAGCCCATAATGTTCCCGAACACAAGCCGAAAGCTATATAAATCCTGTTGGTCTGCAATCAGTCAGTGTGTGCATCTCTCATCAGGTGAGTGTGTCTCGTCGAGAGAGCCTCGTCTAGAGTGCGAGATAGTGTGTTTTTCATTGAGAGTGAGTGTGTCTCATCTAACAAGTCAATCCCTGCGGAGTCGATCCAGTGACAGCTGGGCAGCGAGTGCACCGAAGTAGTCTGTTAGTGTATCGTGGTTAGTATGTCGTCGAGAGAGCGTGTTGAGCTCCAGGAAAGACTGAACCGAAGAGTCGGGAGCTGTGCTCGTGTGTCGTCGAGTGCATAGCGAGTTGTACCGTGGAGAGTCTCGAGAGTACGTGGAGTTCCAAGAACGACCAAGCAGAGTCGGGGAGCTGTACTCCGGAAAGCAGAGCCAGGTGCTTTGCAGGAAGCTGTCTTCACCGTGATAGCCTGAAAACCTGAAGGCTGTGTCGCTGATCGTGTCAGTGTGTTTATAGTAGTTCATTAACGACTGTGAAACATGTTTTGGAGCTGTCCTGACAATACTGGCCAATAAAGTGTGTTTCGATACTTCATCAAGTGTCGTTATTCGCTCCAAATCCACATGAACCCCGTACGAACTGATGTCAGAAGAAATAACGCAACAACTGGTGTCAGAAAAGAAAAAAAAAAAAAAGTTACAATATTGACAATTGCTGGGATATACTGGGTGTTCAGCACATTAAATTACGGCAAGTAGAAATGTGTATAATTTAATTTCAGATAATGAAGAAGAATCGTGTAGTGGTTTAGAAATGGATTCTATGAACACAATGAAATTCTGAAAAACTTACTGGCTGACAGAGAATTCGATCTCATCGATCCCATCAATGTGGTTCATTTACTAATGAGCTCACTGAATTTTGGTGAAAAACTTCATACTATTTGTGAAATATTTCTTATTGCTAACCCTGGAGTGGACTGCATTTCACATCGAATGTACACAGAAGGACAGATAAAAGAGATGGGAGGCCAAGTTCAATAACCTCAAAGGTAAGTGCGAAAATCATATTTCAGTATTTCTAATATCAATATTTCTAATGTTGGATCTGTTGCTGTGAAGTAAGGAAAGCACTGTACTAATTAAAATACCTGCTGATAATATTAAAGAATCTGATAATGAATCAAACTATGCTAAAAACCCAAGTTCTTCTAAAGATAGTCTTTTTTCTGTAGTTAAAATGGTGCAGAATTAGGTAACCCTACTTCTAACAAAATTAAGAGTAAAAAAAAAAAAAAAAAAAAGAAAAAGAAAATGTGCACGGGGGGGGGGGAACACATGATCAGATGAATTAACTTCCCTTTGGAAGATCACCTGGTCATGTAAAATCCTTAAAGCCATCTACATGAATCGACATATCTCTGAGAAAGTCTCAATCGCAGACATGTCAGCTGACACAAATTCATCTACATACGGAGATTTTGTACCTAAGTTCCTCTGAGCAACTAAGCCAATCGGAACAATCAAAGCAGATGACATGATTTATATCTAATAGGAAACCTCTACTGATCTCACAATAAACAATAATTTACGGAGTTTTCAATGCCTTTATTTCTCAGAGCTTATTTTTTAAATAGTTGTAATAGTAATAATATACAGGAGGCTTAATAGCAGACAGAAAGTAACAGTGATTACAAATGCCAGTAAAAAATTCAAAAAGCAAAAAATAAATAATAATTGTACATTAAAAAAAAAAAAAAAAAAAAAAAAAAAAAAAAAAAAAAAAAAAAATTACTTAATGAAGCAAGGAAATAAATTAATGGCGAAATGTAATACAGTCAAAAGTTGTTAATTCGGACACCCATAATCCGGACCTCAACGCCACAAACTTTCTTCACATGCGTCGTGTTGATGTAAGACTTTTACGGCTGCAAATAGGCGTGTGCGCATGTGCATAATACGTTTACGCATGCGCGTTTAATGTATAATGGACAGTATAAGCTAAGCTAAAATTATCTAATTCAGTTAATGTTGCAGATTGCGTTGTTGCTTAATCTTCGAATTGGATCCGGCTTATTATTTTTTGCAGACTGTTAGAGCAATTTTATAAAAGTAAGCGTGAACTTTCGATTATGTCAAATAGAATTTCCGATACATACTTACTAATATGTAAAGGATCTACAAAGCGAAAGTATGTTTCGAAGTCCATTAAACAAAAAGTTGAATTGCTGCAAAAAATGGATAAAGGCATATCCTTTGTTTCTCAACCCATTCCGAAATCTGTTCATCAATTTCACGATGCTCTGCGGTGGGGAGGGGGGGACGCCGCGGCGCGCAATGAATTGGAAGTTGATCTGTCAGCACTATCCTTATCTT